CTCAGTGTGGGGCTTGAACTCACAACCCTGAGATGAAGAGTCTCATGCTCTACCAACTGAGCTATCCCAGAGCTGGATGAGTGCTACTGGATCCTACCAGTGTAATGACCCATAAGCAGAAGGCTGCACTTAACCAGAGTCCTGCTGGATCTCAGCAAAGGAATATTTACTCCAGTATCCTGTTCTTACAAGTGTCAACCAGAGGCATATAGGAGACCAGCAAGACAGAAGTAACGCCTCTCTTTTTAGCAGACAAACCACGCCAGTTCACCCATCACTTGCCCACCACCATGTTTACTTAGAGCCTAGGTCAACAGCATCCAATGCCCAACCACATTCGTAAGGCTCGTCATCTCCTCTTCCATCAATTATGCAGTTCCCCCCTTGTTTCCAGATCTCCAGAGGAACTCATCCAACAGGGGGGTCCCAATTGCTGAATTAACCTTTATAGGTTCTCATCCTTTTCTCTGGCGTTCTTAAATCTCACCACCAACATGACCAAAGCCACAGATACACTGCAGGCAGTAAGTAAACAGGTGTAGCTCCCTTTCTCCCAATCGCAGGAAGCGAGGCTGTGAGAAAAACCCAGCTAGACCAGATTCAGTTCAGAATCCTGTTCCAAACAGCATCCAGCCAGATCCCTCTGGAAAAAAATTGCATGAAGCCAACAGCCATCCCCCCGCGTCTGGTATTCATAGATACAGTGCTACTGAATGTGGAGGTTCCATTCAGTTGTGGCACGGCAATAGCCATGGATAAACAGATCACCCACCATTAATGTGTCCAAAATCCCCTTCTAAAAAGCCAACTAAGTTAGTGGGCATCACTGTAATAAAATAAGCTTCCAAAGCAGGCATAGGCAAACTCGGCCCTACAACTACAACTCCCATCATTCCTAGCTAACAGGACCAGTGGTCAGGGATGATGGGAGTTGTAGTCCCAAAACATCTGAAGGGCCGAGTTTGCCTATGCCTGTTCCAAGTGTCTTTGAAATCAGCCACCATTCTCTCTGCCTCAGCTTCTCATCTGCAAAATGGGGGCAGTAATACCTTGTCTGCGCTTACAGGCTGCTAAAAGGATCACTGCCCTGGCTTGCACCCCCCCACACCTTCCCCTGCTGTCTCCCCTCCTATGTCAAATTTCAGATTGCAAGCTACTCAGGGGAGAGACCTGCACTCTTGCTGACGGCATGGCAGGAACGAGAGAACACAGCGATGTCCTTGTGCGCAAAACAAAATAGCCCATCTAATGGCACTCCTCATTAACAACCATTAGCATTTCTACATGGCAGGCTACTGTTTTAAGTGCAGAGATACAGCTTGTAAAAATGGAGGGGGGGGGAGAGTTGGCGATGCAAAATGAGATTTTGACATTTTAAAAACTCACACATATGAGAGACCATTGGTTCATCCTTCCAAACTCAGCCCTTGCAACTCCCCTCCCACAGGGGCAGAATTTGCTAATTCTGGGCGAGGACAAAAATTTGGCGCCCTCTAAATATTTCTTATTTTCACAATAATTCCTTTTGGTACAGTTACTTTTAAAATGGATTTTCTCGAGTAGGTACCCGAATAAATATAGGTTTTTAAAAATATTATTATTTTGTGCCCCCTCAGCTGGGCACCACCCTAAAGGCGCTGGCTCCTGAGCATGTTTGGAGGGAACCAGGTAAGGAACGAGACTCACCGCAATGAGCGCGGGGTTCCTCTGCTCCGCTCCAGAGGCCGATCCGGGCTGCTCTCCGTTGATCCCACTCCTGCCACCAGTCGTCCCGTTGCTGATCAGCTGCTGGCGATAGTAGTCCGCCGGAGGGGGCGCTGCAGCGTTCGCAGAAGGAGCCGAAGCCGCGATGCTGCCGCCTCCTCCGCTGTGACCATTGGCCGCTGCTGCCTTGCTGTGCTTCCCTCCTTTCCTGGCCGCCTGCCCGTGCTGCACCAGGTTGAGGAGTTGCAAGGTGCTCTCCCGCTCGCGGCTCGAGCTCTCCGCCCGGCCCCGCTCGTAGCGCCCCTCGCAGCTCAGGTGGTGCTGGCGGCAGATGGCGATGCGCGCCCGCAGCCGCTCCACGATCGCGCTGTGCACCCGCGGCGCCGCCACCGAGCCGCCGCCGCCTCCCAGGAGACCCGGGGCTTGGGGGGGAGCCGTGTCCCCCATCCCCGCAGCCTAAGGCCCCTGCTCTTTTGCAAAGGGCTTGTTGATCCACTCTCACGCGAACCAGAAACCGGCTCCTCTCTCCGGAACGAGTGCGAATCTTGCGCTCCTCTCTCCTGCAAACCGGGGCAGATCGCTTGCCCGATTTTAGTCCAGCGGGCTCTTTACAAAGTCGCCGCCAGCGCCATCCTTTTTGCAGGTTCCCCGAGCAAAGCAACAGACTTCAGCAGCGGGGGGCGAAGCTGGCCAGCAGGGGCGGCTGCAGACTTGCAAGCTACAGCCATTTAAATCGCGGTGCAAACCACTGATAGGGGTTATTTTTCCTCCCCCTTTCCTTTTTTTTAAAAAAAAATCCTCCACCACGAGGTCTGATTAAGGCTTGCTGAAAAGCATCGCAGCAAAGTTTTTACAGCAATGCATTTTAGGGAGAATTTGTAATAATAAATAAGCAGATAGCCAAAGCTGGGTAGCGTGCTTTTTTGGGGGGGGGAGGGGAAAAGAAGCCAATTGGCAAAAAGGTATGGAAACACACACACACACACCCTTCTCTTGAGCGCAAAAAAGAAAGGGACGCGTGAAAGTGAGCGCGAGCGTGGAGGAAGGGTCGTGTGGACGGGTGACACGAGGTTCCCTGAAGTTGCTCGCAAGAGCAGCGATCGGAATGGGGCGCGTTGGCTGGATGCCGGAGGGATGGGAGAAGCGATCCCGGAGAGTTTTAATATTTGTTGCTTTCTCTTTCGCCTACCTCGGTCTTTAAAACCCGGTTGTTGTTTTTGCACAGGCTCCTGCTCAAAGAGTATCTCCTTTTAAGTCAAAGGAAAAGCAAGACGGCTTACTGGTTCCCGGTGTCATTAAGTTCAGACGCGGTTCTCCAATGAATCCAACCCATGCTTGGGAGACGCGGACGGGCAGATGGTTTCTCCGAAGGGTGGGCGATCCTTAAGTGTCCCTCCCTGCCGTGCCACGGAAAAAAGCCAGCTCCGATCTCGATGCAAAAAGCCCTCCCCGCATCCTCGTGCTCCTTTTTGTCTACTTCCAGAAAAGCTGAGCAAAGCACCCAGGAACGCGGCGGGGGAGAGAGAGAGAGAGAGAGGGGAGGCGGGTGGGGGGAAGAGTTGGTGGGAGTAAAAGCAGAAATCACGACTCCCAACGATCAGCTAATTCACAAACCAGCTCGAAACTTACAAACTTCCAGCTCTCCGCCTCCAGACCCGTCCGATGCAGCGAGATTCCTCGGTCAATTTGTATATTCCATCCCTTCCCAGACTTGGGATCTGCCGAGTTTTTGTTGCTGTTGCAATGTCTCTCCAAAGCGCGCTTGACGGTGGTGGTCGCTGCTGCTGCTGCTGCCGCCCTGCCCTCTGCACTTGCCGGTTTAAGAAGAGAGCAGAAAGCTTGCAGTGTTCCCCCCTCCCCCTTTTCCTTCGCTTGTCTCGTGCTTTAAGCCGCCAGGCTGCTACGACTGCACGGCGCGGGGGTTGCAGATACACAGGATTTCATTGTGCTCGCATAGAATCTGAGCAGCGGCGGCAACAGCAGCAGCAAACATGAGACTGACGGGGAACCCTGGCGGAAGGCTGGCACCGTTGCGCGGAAAAAGTCGCCGTTCCCCGAAATGAAGGGCAAGGAGACGCCTACCGGCCAAACCCTCTCGTGGCAGGGAGCTTCCGTTTACTTAAAAAGCCCGCTTTCCCACGTTATGCTCGGGCACTCGCGATCAAATCAGGGGGCGCTGATATATGTGCATTTCAGAAGGCTGACGCTGTGCCCGTGGAAGTAAAACCCGACACAAATCTACGCGCCACCAGAAAGCAGCCATAGCCTTTCGAAAGCAGGCTGCTCCTGCACATGTGAATCGGACCTTGCCAGGTGCTTTGGGGGCATAGTAACACTGGTATAGTGCACGCACCTGGAAGGATAGCACAAGGTGCAGCGTGCACACAAATGGCTTCCCTTTGCAAAGTTTCCGCCAAGCTCTTGGAAGATGGCAGTGGAGACTGGATAAAAGGTGCAGGCAATTTCACATTAACTTTTCTGCCATGCCCGTTAATTCCCAACCCACAAACCTTCAGCAAACAAGATAACTGTGCTTAAACATTGGAAGCCATTATTTTATAAATTACATAAACTATAGGGCTTATGATATTATGTGGGTATATGTACATGTACACACAAACTGTTTGCATAGTGATAGCGTTTTCTAACATTACGTTTCAGCAAGCTTTTTGTTTACCCACATTCCTTTTTAAATCCATTATTGGAGGCTGCTGAAATGAGAATATGTTTCCTGAAAAGACGCTGGAGCATTTAATGTTTTTCAGCTGTTTGGCACAAATCACAAGATGCTTTTGAAAAGACTTTTCCGCCAAAACTTTTCATGCACCCATATATCATATTGCTGATGACGGAGCCTGTTTAAGAGATGGAAGAAACACTCATTCGAAGCAGCAGCAAGCCTTCCACCTGCAAGGTAGGAGGGTTTCCTAAAGCAGGCCTGTAGCTTTTAATCCACTGAGCCAACCACAGCCTCTAAGCTGTTTGAGAAACCGATTTTGCTGCCCGTAAATGCAAAAGCACAGTACATGACTCTACTCAGTTTTGGTGGTGGTGAAGACCTAACCCCCAAAGGACACTTGTGATGGAGAGTAGGCTTGTGTTTTTTCCTTTTCCAAACCAATTTGGGTACAACCAGCCTCAACAGTGCCTGTAGGTGAACTGACAAGCCTCTTCCAATCAGTGTTAAGCCTCTGTCCTCCTTCCTTGTTAACTGACCAGCTACGCTTGCAGGCTGGTAAGTCAACCCCAAATGCATGAAGTGGTTAGGGGAACAAATAATAGGCAGGCAAGAGCGGATGGGAAATAGTGAAAGAATAGTTTATTGTACAGCTTTATGTAGAGTGAAAGCCTAAGTTATGGTTGATTTTGAAAAGGTAGCGTGTCAGAATAGAGAAAGATACCATGACAAGAATTAAGGGGAGCTTTCCTCTGTAATTCAAAAGCTAGGAGAAACTTGATCGCATCAGAGGAAGGCTTGCTCTCTTAAGGTGCGAAAACTCCCACGTTTATGCGAAGAGAACTTGATTCATATCTTTTCCGTTTCCTTACACTTAATATGCTTCTATTTACCAAGTGCAAACATGGGTGGGGCTTATGAACACCTTTGTCAAACACAGCAGGCACAGCCGAGCTGTTAAAGCAAACCAGAGCCTTAAGAATGTTAACACTGCACTCAAACTTTAGACCTTTACTCGTCGCAATAAACCTGAGCGCATTAAGGAGTTGCACACAGAGAGTCTGTGCACTTGCTTTTCCCACTGTCCCTTAGCCTCGCCTTTCATACCCCCTTAACTGCTGCTGCCCTGCTGTACCTGATAAGAGCTGTGGTGGCACTTGGGTGACTTGGGGCTCACCTGGCGAGTAGATGATGAACATAGTATAGGAATCACCTTATAGGATCAGACTAAAGATCCAGGTAGTCCAATGTTCTGTTTCCAAACTAATGCCACTAGGAAGCCCACAAGCAAAAGGAAGGTTTGTTCCTGGATTATCACTGCTTCCATTCACATCTGAAGCCCAAACTTTTAATAGACGCAGGAAGTTGACTCAAATCAAGTCAGGCCATTGGTCCATCTAGCTCAGTACTGCACACAGTGACTAGCAGCAGCTCCCAAAGGTTTCAGACAGGGGCCTCCTAGACCTACCTCGAGATGCTGGGGGTTGATCCTGGGACGTTTTGCACGCAAAAGAAGATTACCATTGAGCTATAGCCTTTCACACAGGTGACACAGTGGAAATGAACAGAGCAGAAACACCATCTATTCAGCTTACTGAAGAGGAAGAAAGCACACCTGTTCATTAAAGACCCCAACTTACTGTATGTCTGAATTAGAGGCCAAAGGCTTCCTACTCTTCATATTGCCCACAATCAAAAACTGGATGTGTCTCTGATCTGTAATTCATATATATCAAGGCTGCCCAACTCACCTATCCAAGTTAATATACAGGAAGGGTGCTCTGAGTGAACTCTGAACTCCTCTGAAGTATGCACTGGGCCATCATCCCATATACACTTAAGAGCAAATTCATTTTCCAAGTGTGGATCATTGTGCAGCAGGCTTGGGAAAGGTCCGCGGTTTTCAGGAGGAGAAAAAAAGATGAACAGGGCAGTGGGGAAGACACTAAAGTGAGCGAAACAAACCTGAAACAGCCCAATGAGGACTATGCATGCTCAGTAGCTATAAAATACTAGTTGGCTGTTGGAGTGGGGGAGCCCAGAAAATAGTATATGCATGTGAATCCTGGAAAAGGGCATTGCTGGAACCCTGAGCACGATCACTGCACACTTTAAGACTGTTTTGCAGACCCCACTTGCCAATAGTCTAACTGAAGCTGCTACCGAACAGTCAGTGTCAAGCTGATGAACTGAGCATTCATCAAATTCCCTGACTCGAAAATGGAAACAGACCCAACTGGGTATTACGTCATACAGAATGAGCAGAAGCCTCTGCATATCAGTCTTGTAAAGCATCTTCCCTTCCAAATGCTACAGAAATGGAAAACGGATATTGCTAGCAGTGTAAAGATATTTATTTCTTTTACCGCTCAGCCAGCTAAATGCAAGTCCATGAATTCTGGGTCTCTAGGATGCATAAACAATGATGGCCTGTTGGTTTTAGAGAGCTAATTTGTTACTGCCCTGTGTCCTGGGGGGTGGGAATGTACCTGGTTTACAGCTGGTTTTAAACACTGTGCTGGGAAAGCAGTATGCATATTACAGCCTTTGGGCTTCTCACCATGTGGACCTTTCCTCTTTCAAAAAGAATTGAAGCCAAGCATTTTTCATACACTGGCACAATTCACCTGGGCATCACTGCGCATAAAATTTCATTTCCTGAATGAACACCCGGGTTATTCAGAGACTGTTTTTCATTTTAGATCATTAAGCTGAGCTGCCTGGTGTTCAAGAACACAGAAGAGATGACTTCCACTATAAAAATGTCCTTAGATGATTATTTTGATAATTAAAATGAACTATGAAAAAGAAATACACATTAACTTATTAGTATCCATAACAACATACAGGCACATTGATTGTCTTGCAGTAAAAAGAAAAACAGCTGGAACGCAGCATGATATTCAAATACTATCACCAGTCAAGGGAAAGCACATTTGTAAGTAGATGCCTTTTTAAAAAAATGATGACATCAAGTCTTTTTTTTCGTCTTGGAAGTTTTCAGCACGTACCATGTACTTCTGAAGTTCAGAATATTGCTTCAAACGAAAGAAAACAAAGTATCATTTTAGCAGACCTAAATTAAAGGTGGAACTTTTTATGTTCCTTTTAAATTTCATTTGCACACTTATAAACCAATTAAAAAGTTACTGAAGCAATGTGCAGTAATAAAAAAAGATTAGAAACCCAGTAAACTAAACGCAGCAAAACCATTTATACAGTTGTAGAATTATTATTCCACACAATGATTGGGCCACCCTTCAGGGAAAGCCTTCTTAGAACAAATATGTATTTCAAAAGCCACCAAAATGTCAAAATGCTAGGTACTTCTCTTAGTAGTGCCCCAACTGAGGAGCGCAGTTTCTCGGCAGGGATGGATGTGGCAAGGTGTTCCCTTAGGTAACCTGGTCCCAAAATGTTGAAATACTAAAAGCAAATCCTTGAATTGCACCTGGTAGCCCAGGCATAGGTATACTCAGCCCTCCAGATGTTTTGGGACTACAATTCCCATCATCCCTGACAACTGGTACTGTTAGCAAGGGATGATGGGACTTGTAGTCCCAAAAAACATCTGAAGGGCCGAGTTTGCCTATGCCTGTGGTAGCCTATTGGCAGCCAGTGCAGCTCCCTCAGCAGAAACCTTATACTGCATGTTGGCAGTGGGATGTCCCAGTCAACAACCTAGCTTCTATACTGGTTTCAGTATATTGGTTTCAGATCACTAATGAATTCCTCGCTTTAACAGCAGCACAGTGCACAATTTTGATAGTAACATCTTCTTTCCATCACACAAGATTGCACCTGTCAAAATTATGCCTTGTATACAAGTGTGAAAGGGATGTAAGTCATGCTCTCTTGGAAACTTTATTGATGAGCCTCATGCAAGACAAATACCACACCTGCCTATATTGATCTAAATATACCTTTTGCAATACCTGCTACAGCTGGTCTTAAAATTCTCCCAGAAAGGAGTAATCTTGACCCCTAGGAATTTTTTTCTTTTAATACTATAAAGCTGTCTGCTATAGAAAGCATTTAAAAAAGCAAACTGCTGTACTCTAGTCTTTAAATTTGCTGAAGTAGTGAAAGCAGCAGGATGGCATACTTTTAGCAGGTTAAATAAAGCCTAGCAAGGAGTCTGAACAAAGTGGCACAGTTGCCAGGATCAGAGAGGATGCAGCAACCTCTATGCAAGGCTCCCTCTCTCATTTTATCCTTTTGTTCACTGCCTAATCACAAAATGACACACTAACAATATTGGAAACAAGTCCAGAATCTTCTGTAGTCTTTTAAACAAAATCTCATTGGTTTAAAAACAGGGCTTGCTTTCTAGGATCATGGCATTGGGTAATTATTATGTTGGTAAATATATTCCCTGCAGAAATATGATCACATTAATCATTATAGGAGGTACAGCTGGACTAATTTCAAAGCAGGAGCTACTTTCAGTCAACTTTTCCTGAAACTGCACTTTATGAGCACTTAAATTTACCCTCTTACTTTCTTCACCCTCCACACCTGAATGGCCTACAGTTCTGTCCACAAAATACTAAGTGCTGTACTGATTATTAATTTCCCCTGCTTTCAAAGCAATAGAATTTATGTACAATCAGTTCTACTGTACCTGTTCAATCCAGCCTTCATTATTCAGCTGTGTGAAAACTCTGTACACTGTATCTTTGACTGGTGCATCCTGGAATTCATTGCTTGTCATTAGAGAGCAGCAATTCTGATACAGCTTGTATTTAAAATGTTTCAGGTTGTGATAAACTTCAGTACGGTTTCTACACACAATGCCAATCTGCAACGCCTGTATTATTAAAAGGAAAGCTCTTTTACTGGGCAGGTCTTGGGCAATAATGGGCAATGCAATAGTCTCATCAATTAAACAAGTAAGGTATGACAAAACCTGAGCAGGACATTTATTGATATCTAACTGAATCTAACTTCCACACTCGCCACTTTTCCAAAGGCATCACTGGCATAAATGAAAACCGAACCTTTTTCCCCACTGCTACCCTAAGAATGTCAATTCAGGAAGGCACAGAGGTGATCACTTGCTTTAATCAGTTCTAATACCAGTGCCACTGGGGCTGCGAAATGTTTGAAATAATAAATTAAAAGGATTAAATCTTTGTTGGTATGCACTTATTACCTGTAATTCACAAAGCATACCCTGTTCAACACTAGCTGAATTGCAAGGGAATATATTTTTTTTAAAAAAAACCCTGGTTATAGAACATAAACACTGCAAAGCCTAGGTTTATACAGTAGAACAGTCACACCAGTGTAAATCTAAAGAGTCACTCTGCTTGAGAAAGTTAGGGAATATGAAATTAGGAGCCCCACAGGTACACTAGCCCAGTTAAAACTGCACATATGTACAACAGATGTTGTCAACACACCACTGGAGTTTGACCGAATACTCTTGGAAGTATATAATTCTCACATTGCAAAATCAAAGCCTCTGGAGTGCACCAATTCAGTTCCCATGCTTGTACAACTATCTAAGACTATCTACTTGGTTTATATATGAAGACAGATAAACCATTGATCAGTTTACACATATAGTCAAACCAACCCAAGCACTGTCAATTTATAGGGAATTCTGAAGATCAAGGTTTAGGGATAATTTTTCACAGATAAATAATATGCCAAGTATACAAGTTACTGTTATACCATAAGCCTTGGTCTCTCTAACAGATAGAACTGTAGAGTTGGAACTCAGACCCTGAGGATCATCTCATCCAACCCCCTGCAATGCAAGGATATACAACTGCCCCATATAGGGATCAAACCTGCAGCCTTGGCATTATCAGCGCCATGATCTAACCACCTGAACTATCTTGTTGACACTATATATCTAGATCTAGATATACACACAGAGAAGATGAATCTAATTTAAAAAAAATAAAATTACCCAAAAATTTATGTCAGGATTATTATTTGCAAGTATATTAATTAGCATATAGACATCAATTATTCTTAGTAAAGCTTGCTATATACTTCTTGATAGAATGTAGTTTTAAGGATATCATAATGATCAGCTTGTTCATAAACAAGCACTATAGAGGAAATTTCTCATAGCCATCTGGGATTTTCAAGTATTATATACTTAGCCACTAATACAAGCAACAGAAATCTTTGAAACCACTGCCAAAAACCCATTACCCAAAAGTAGACTAAAAAGAAGCATGAGGCTAAAAGATATTAACATCAACATCTCACAAAAAAAAATATGCAATGCATTTTAACTTTTTGGTTCTTAGCAGTTTTGTAGCCTGGGAACAAAATTTACCTGCTTGTCATGTGACATGAAGTCATCTACTTGCATTTTCTCACGATCGTATGATTTCCCTGACAGAATCACTGTGAACCTACAGTGCCTCTGCAGTTCACAGGCCTGACAGGAACGGTGCTCTCCAATTCCCTCAACTATGCGGATGTCAGGATAACTATCCACCCGTTTCTGGAAAAAAGATATCCGGTTGGAAATTTTGCTGGTCACTTGTTCCACAGAATCAACTATTGCAATTCAACAATACTAAACATTCATATATTTATCTGTTTAATTTCAACTGCTTGGTTAAGGACCACAGAGCTCTTAATTTCTAGAGTAGGCTCAGTTAGGTCATTGCCCCCTCACCCCCTGCGAGGAAGTGACGTGTTCCTTCTCTTCCTTTCCTCATTCTCTTCCTTCACAATGTGAGCCATGGAAGGAGGATGTGCCTCGCAATAGCAACATTGTTCTAGTTCTACCCAATAATATTTTTGTCTGCAATTTCCATTGTTGCCACATAGTACAATGCATAACTGATACCTTAAATCTGTAAGTAAAAAAATTACAAACTTATTTCAGTGTGTTGTCTATTAACTGCACAGACGGGCGGAAGGAAGTCTGCTGCTGCACACAGCTGACACAGGATAAAGAAAAGGTTTAAAGGTAAAGGTACCCCTGACCATTAGCTCCAGTCGTGGCCGACTCTGGGGTTGCGGCGCTCGTCTCGCTTTATTGGCCGAGGGAGCCGGCGTACAGCTTCCGGGTCATGTGGCCAGCATGACTAAGCCGCTTCTGGCAAACCAGAGCAGCACACGGAAACGCCGCTTACCTTCCCGCCGGAGCAGTACTTATTTATCTACTTGCACTTGACGTGCTTTTGAACTGCTAGGTTGGCAACAGCTAGGACCAAGCAACGGGAGCTCACCCCGTTGCGGGGATTCGAACAGCCGACCTTCCGATTGGCAAGCCCTAGGCTCAGTGGTTTTCCCCATCGGAGAGTCTGCTAAGCCCTGCACTTTGAATACAGGTTTGCAGTCATATTCCTTTGTTTGTTTGTTAACCCACATACATGGCTCTATAGAGAAGTAGATATAATTAATACATCCTCTTCCAATTCCCATCAGTTTTCAGTCCAATGTTCCAGCCTGTCAGTATCACTTTGATGCTATCTTCTATAACATGGTGTTAGCTATCCCTATCAGCTTCAAGCCATCTGCACATCTGAAAGGCACCACCTCACCAGAGTCATTTATAAGAACATTGAACAATACCCCAATACCGTATATTTTTCTGTCCAGCGACTTCTCGCCACTAAATTGTCAACACGAGGTCGAACAAAATCATTGTCGAAGAAGCGAAGGGAAGTCAACATTTCTTTTGCATACTTCTTTTGTCTTCTCCCCTCTGTTGGAAAGAGAAGGAAATCAAATTATCATATGCTTGGTTAGTCTCACAAAGCTACGTATAGTAACACACTTATTTGCTTCAATAATAATTTTAAAAGGTGATTAAAAAGCCTTTTGATTAAGAAAATCCACATTTGCTTACCATATAATGACATCAAAAAGTTATTGTCAACTGCATTGATGAGAAACGCCTTTACAACTCTTTGGAAATGGACAAAATGATCAACATGGGCCACTGTAAGAAATAAAAATATCAGTATGGTTGTCAGACTGATGATTTACATGAGTTACCTACATGGAAAAAATAATGTTTGGTGGGGCTCTAATAAATATTGTATTGTGACACTACATAAATGATGTTTACAGGATTTTTATTTTAACCTTACAGTATGGAAAGCACTTCTGCAGCAATGTGCCTGACATAGCTTGCTTTTTCTTTTGTGACTGGCTCTTGTCTTCCTCAGAGTTTTCTTGTTCCAACTCCTCCTCCTCCTCCTCAACTATGAAATCTTTCATGCTGTCAACCTCAGATGCATCACTGATTTCAGCAGGTGTGAGAGATGAATGGGAAGAATCATCTTCTATTATCACATCCTCTTCAGAACCCTAGTGACATTAAGAAGCAGAGGCTTATTTGAATCCTTTATTTAAATTCATTTGTGTTACCATAACATATTATTATTAATAACTAACTTTCCATATTGCCCATCATTCAAGGATCACAGGGCAGTTTAGAATATAAACACACAAAATTATATAACATAATAACAAACAAAAAAAATACCCCCAACCCCAGTTTAAAAGGCCACAATTGTTTAATCAGCCAAAGGCTTGGGAGAAGAGGAACATTTTCACCCAGCGCCTCAAGATACGTAATGAAGGAGTGAGGCAAGCCTCCCTGGTGAGAGCATTCCACAAACGGTAAGCCAGTGCAAAAAAGGCTGGTTCTCATGTTGCCACCTTCCCGACCTCTTGCAGAGGAGGCACACGAAGAAGGGCATCAGAGGATGAGTGCAGGGTCCAGATCATTTCATATATTTGCAGTCGAAATTATTCAACCCTCATTTCAAATCAGTCTTATTAACAAAATTTACAGACTTTCAGCTTTCTGCATTGAGCAAATCAAACAAAATTAATTGAAAGAGCTCAACACAACACATGCTTCATGCACTGGCAAACCACTCCCAAACACCCATTACCACCCAAGGTAGGGTAATAGACCATGGCTACTCTCAACAATTGAACTGGCATCACTGCCTTGATGTAAAAAGGTGCCTGTACAATTTCAGATAACTTGTCCTAGCTTGGGAAGTAGAGAGAAGCCAAAATGCAAGGCAGTCACCTTCCTGTTTTCAGTAAAGTTGTTGCCATAACAATACCAGAGCCAAGTCAAGATTATTTCTGGTTCAGGGACTGGGCCTAGTAGTATACTGTATGAGTTCCTGCAATAAGTAGCAGCAGTTCCTTTTTACTTTTAGCATTTTCCAATGAAAGTTCTCATGAGCACCAAATCTGCACGAGAACAGCAAGCACAACAATACATTCTGCAAATGAATAAAAAATGTACCTCATGACATTCACTGAGGCCGGAAGCTCGAGTAGATCGCCGTTGGGGCAATTCCTGCAGTTTCATTAGCCTGCCTTGTTTTCTCTTTGCTTCTTTTTCTGCAGGTGATGTGTGTTCAGTGGACAAGTCGTTCTCATCGATTATGCAACTGCGTTTGGCAATCACTTTTCTAACAATGTTGCTATTGTCACTATCGTCGCTGTCATACAGTACGGTTCTCCGAGACCTCTTGCGTTTCCCAAGGTTGATGCTTTCTTCATCTGCGTCCTCTCCTGCTGCACAATCACCACCTGTCTCAACATCTGGAAGGCCACCTGCGTTCACCGAAGTTTCATCTTTATCCTCATCGTGTATGGGTTCACCTTTCTCTCTCTCATCTGAATCATCATCTGAACTGGTTTCAAGTTCTTTTTCTGATGCTGATGTAATTTCATCACTCTCTTCCTCGCTATCAAACAATATACATCTTCCCTTAGTTCGCTGCCAGTCAATCCGAGATTTGGCTACCGGTTCTTTTGCTCTTGCATTTCTCCTCGTTTCATATCTTCTGTTTTCGGAATTTGGTTCCATAAGGACTTACTAAGAAATCAAATTAAAATGTAGTTGTGAATTCAGGGAACTGCAGGCTTGGATAATAAATCCCCCCCCCCCCCCGCAAAAATAGAAAGTGGGATTCTCCTAACCTGAGACTTAAATTTAACAAGTTAAATTGTGGGGAAGTTGAAAAATCTCTTCTGTTTTATCTTGCAGAGGCAGTGGAACCTTATAAGCAATGTTTTAAAATAATACCGTCGCAGCCGACCTATACTGCTGTAAATCTCCGTAAAGTGAGCTCACTTGTATCAGATTCCTCTTTCTCCACACCAAGTGAAATAAGCTAGCAAATATTTGAAAACACACAACCACAAAATTAAGGAAGAGATAAGGGTGAAAGTGCTGAGAAGCCTGTTTCAGTTAATGCAAATCTTCTATTTTAAGAATTGCATACAGCTCAAAGTGAAAGTTCCGAATCAGCTGCTGTGGTGGCATTTCCTGCCAGAAACGGACAATGATTAGAGAAATTAATTAATTACAAATTAAATTAATTACAAAATCTAATTAAAAACAATTAAAAAAATTAAATTGATTACAAAACAGAAAATGGCCGATACCTCCTCACAATCATTGTCACTCTCCCGCTTTGTACCTCTCCATGCTTCATTGGGCTAAGTATTTATTAAGTGTGAGCTCCTAAATATCAAAATAAATACAATTTTTAAAATAAAAAAACCTGCTCTTTTGAAGTCAGCTGAATGTTGGAAGATTCAGGAAAAACAGAAGAAAATCCTTCTCCTAGTAGCGCATAAGAAGAAGAAGAGTATGGATTTGATATCCCGCCTTTCACTCCCTTTAAGGAGTCTCAAAGCGGCTAACATTTTCCTTTCCCTTCCTCCCCCACAACAAACACTCTGTGAGGTGAGTGGGGCTGAGAGACTTCAAAGAAGTGTGACTGGCCCAAGGTCACCCAGCAGCTGCATGTGGAGGAGCGGAGACGCGATTACGAGACTACCGCTCTTAACCACTACAGCACACTGGCTCTCAAAACTATAAACTATGGAACTTGACCCTACAGGAGGCAGTGATGGTCAATAACCTGGATGGCTTTGAATGAAGATCGGAAAATAATAATGGGAGGATAAGGCTATCAGTGGCTACTAGCCACAATGTCTATCTTCTGCCTCTGCTGTCAGAGAAACTATGTCTCTGATTGCCAGTTGCTGGAAATCACAGGAGTGGAGAGTGCTGTTTCACTCAGTTCCTGCTTCCAGGTTTCCCACGCATTTGGTTGGCCACTGTGAGAACAGGATGCTGGGAAAGATGGGCCATTGGCCTGATCCAGCAACTCTTCTTATGTTCTTAATCCCTGCAACCACCATTCAGCTGATACAACATCCAACATGTTTCCTTTTAAAGTTCAGCTCAATTCTTACTTAAAACTTGCAAGATAAAACAGGGACAATAGACATTCTGTAACAAATGACACGAGGAATAAAATAAACTGAGCATAAATTTTAAAATAATTAATTACAGCACAGACTCCCCCCCCCAAGTACCAAGGCCCAAACCTTTCCAGAAGGCCTTCACTCAACTTAGAGGCCTTTTATACAATTGTAAAAAAGTGAGGCAACATTTATGGATTCTCAGCAGTGACAGAGAACTCTGCACACGTTCAGAGGCAACCTTTTCTCTGTTACTATACCTTTGTGTCCTGGCACCAATAGCCCACTCCAGGGAGTTCAAATTAAGGCCTGCAGACAGGCTATCTCAACCCTTACAACCGTTATTCCAGCTCAACCTTCATTTACTACTCTATCTAGAACCCAGTCAGAATCCCACTTCTTTAAATAAATGACCTTGCTTTCAAAACAATTATTTTCCCATTGTGTTTGTTTGATTTATACACAACTTCTCAAAACGGATGGTTTATTTTTATACATGTATTAATGCAAACTGCTTTGTGAGACGCGCTTGGTAAGCCCTAACGGGTCGTGGTTAGGTTTTTAGCTTGGCCTGGCCGTGCCTTTTGCATTTTTTAGAAAAAGAGCATTAATATACTCTTGCCTTTCCCACCATTTGCAGTTCCCCAGGGCAGCTCACAACCAAAATGCAAAGCATCTGTAACAAGCAAAAAATAAAATTACATCATCCCACTGGAAGCAAAAAAGAAGTCCTTCCTCCCTGTTCATCCTAGATTCCTACACTTTTAAAGCAGAAGTTGGATGGGCATCTGTCATTGATGCTTTAGTTGAGATTCCTGTATTTCAGGGGGCTGAGACTAGATGATCCTTGAGGTCCCTTCCAACTCTATGATTCTAAGATTCCTGTTGACAAGCCTACCTTAGAAAGCTGAGCGGATTGTAATCTGCTTTAGGATGTTAACTTTTTGTGTGTGTTTTAAAACATTTATACTTTTTTTATCTCTTAAATTTATATACAGCCCTTCTTTAGAGGAACACAGGGCAGATTAGGGACACAAGGGGTTGTAAAATGTAAGGTTGCGAATTTCTGCTGGTTTCACTTGCTTTTGTCTTCTGGAAACCTCTTTTAAGGTTTTATTTTTTAAAAAAATCAAGCGGTGGACTAAATATATGAAAAAAACAATAAGGGAATCTGTGGGGAGTGGAGTAAGGAAGTGCCGGCCATTGGAGCTTTCCTCAGCTTTCACCACATGCTCAGAGGCACTCCTGGCCGTGGCTGCCTTTAAAACTACAGACGCCACCTTGATGGCAATAATAATAATAATAATTTATTATTTATACCACGCCCATCTGGCTAGGTTTCCCCAGCCATTCTGGGCGGCTTCCAACAGAATATTAAAATACAAGTCTATTAAACATTAAAAGCTCCCCTAAACAGGGCTGCCTTCAGATGTCTTTCTTTTTCCTTTCTCCTCCTGTGGTGAGGCTGCATTTTAACATTTTACTGTTTCAACAGTATTGTTGTATTTTAATCTTGTTTTTAAGTTGTATTCATTCAACTTGTTTTTATTATTGCTTGTTAGCCGCCCTGAGCCCTTGGCTGGGGAGGGCGGGGTAGAGGGCGGGGTATAAATAAAAATTATTATTATTATTATTAGTAGTAGTAGTAGTAGTAGTAAAAGTCTGGTAGTTGTTTTTCTCTTTGACATCCGGTGGGTCTTTTATTAATTTCTCTGTGCCTGGTTTCGGTTTCATTTAAAGCAAATGCACACTGGACTGAGCTTCCCCTTCCTAGCGCCCTCAGCCAGACAGTTCCCGCCAGAGTCCGCCCTCGAATTCCCGCGCTCTGGAGCAACGGACCCGGCACGCGCGACACCGCACCCCTCCCCTCTCTCTCTTTTTCCCGCGCGCGTCCTTTCCCTCTCTCTCTTACCTGAGAAGCGCCAAAGCTGCCCTAAAAAGCCACGCCCACCACACCAACTGCGTATTCTTTTTTTCTTTATTCTTTTGGTCCCGCCTCCTACACTGGCGGCCCGCGATTGGCCGCACTTCCCCGCTGGGATCGGCCGCTCCCTGCCCCACTTCCTCACGTTTTTATTTTGCGCGCTGACGCGCAGCTCGCTTTCGCCCCTCCCGCTCGCGTTCCTTTTCCCGCTCCCCTCCATAGAGTTGATAATGGTAGAGACGCGCACATACACACAGTGATTAAGCTTCCGGGTTCACATTGGAAACCATTTTCCCCCTGGGTTTTTTTTTGGGGGGGTGGTGCGGCAGTAACATTGCAAACAGTGGGGAACATGCACGGGTGTGCCCTCTCCCCTTTGAAGAAGAAATATAAAAGGTAGCACCCAAACGAGGAAAGGGGGATACTGTTTCAGGTTTTACTTAATAATATTATCGATTATTGATTAAATATGTATACCGCCCTTCATCTGTAGATCTCAGGGCGGTTCAAAACATCACATTACAAATAAAAAAACCACAAAATAGATAATAATACGGAGCAATAATAATAATATGCTTTCAAAGCACAATATTATCTGATGCAGAAATTTTAGCTATTCATTCTTAAATTTGCACGGTACCTGAACTGTAGCTAGAAAACGGAGGGCGCAAATGCCGTACAAATCAGTGCCCTATTTGGGGAATTATGTACTTCCTCTTCTTTCTTGTTTTGGCAATGCACAAGAGATCGCCTTGAATTTGGCACTCCCTGGCGGTGCATTTTTTTCATTTAAAGAAATAAAACCAAAATGAAAATAAGTTTGAGTTAGAAACTGCGCGGTGTGGACAATTGCAGATATATTAAAATTCTGAAATACTCCAGTGTTTGCATCGAGCAGCTCTCTCCAGCCCCTGAGAGAAAACCACAGACAGAGAGAGATATTTGGAGTTATTTTGAGTTTTCTCTTTTCAGCCGCGCGGTGACGCTGCTGCCCTGCCATTTCCTTTCGATTTCAGCACCCTTTCCCAGGTTGCTTCTTAAATAAGTGGCAACTAGCTCCTTTCTCACTTGGGTTAGCGGGCTGGAGCTAGTAGTGGATGGATTTGCGGGTGAAATAGGGAGCAAAATATTCAAGCCGCTGGAACAGCTGCAAGAAAGGAGGGAGGAAATAAAGCAAGAAAAAGGAAACAATAGGCAAAAATATAATTTCTTAGTTACTTTTCCACGCTGCTCATGGCCAAAGTCCTCAGGGTGATTTGCAAACTATTAAAAACACGAAATACAACCAGAAGCATTTAAAAATAGGATAAGAGAACAACATAAAAATCAGCTGCAGCTTACCATAAACTTCTCCCTTGTTCTCTTAGAATGGCACTCAGAGGTGCTGGAGCTGAGCTCTGGTGAGCTCCAGTTGAAAAAAGCTCTGCTTCCCAAGGATGATATATAATGAAACTGAGGTTAACCTAAACAGATTTTGGGGGTCCGCTTCAGTTCTGGGATCTTAAGCCCTAAGGGGATTCCACAGCAGAAAGGGAGTGTTGAAATGGTCACAACCAGATTCTTTGTTTTGCAAAATACACCTAGCCGGGTCTGTGAAGCATTTGCTTTGTAATGTAAGCCAGGGCAACAAAATGCCACAGAAAATAAACAGGTGGAGATCCTTCTGGAATTATTATTATTATTATTATTATTATTATTATTATTACTATCATTATTTAATTATTAAATTTGTATACCGCCCTTCAGCACCGTTCACAACATAAAAATACTGGATTAAAAACACAAAATACGTAATAAAAACAAGAACCAAAACAAACCTATTAACCCCCCCCAACACATTTTTAAGGGTAAAGGTAAAGGGACCCCTGACAATTAGGTCCGGTCGCGGACGACTCTGGAGTTGTGGCGCTCATCTCACTTTATTGGCCGAGGGAGCCGGTGTACAGCTTCCGGGTCATGTGGCCAGCATGACTAAGCCACTTCTGGTGAACCAGAGCAGCGCACGGAAACGCCGTTTACCTTCCTGCCGGAGCGGTACCTATTTATCTACTTGCACTTTGAGGTGCTTTCAAACTGCTAGGTGGGCAGGAGTAGGGACTGAGTAACAGGAGCTCACCCCGTCGCGGGGATTCGAACCGCCGACCTTCTGATCGGCAAGTCCTAGACTCTGTTTAACCCACAGCGCCGCCCACGTCCCATTTAACAGGGTATCAGATGTTAATCAGCCAAAGGCCTGGTTGAAGAGGCAAGTATTTGCCTCGTACCTAAATGTTTATCATGAAGATGCTTTTACTTTCCCCCTCCCCTAGCTGGAGGTGAGCAAATTGCTTCTGGGTGAGAGGGAACTAATGGGCCTGGCAGTGTTGAAACTGGCCTGGCAAAGTGACAGAAAGACCTAATTTATGGCTCATCCACACTGCCGCTCGTGATGTGCCTGGAAAACATGGCTCCGAATGGCTTTCCGCTTGTCTTGTGCTTTCTAGGCAAAGGTCCCAGCCGTTTTGCCCTTGCCCTTCTGCTTTCTCCCGGAGAACCCACTCTTTAGCACTAGAATCATAGAATCATAGAGTTGGAAGAGACCACAAGGGCCATCGAGTCCAACCCCCTGCCAAGCAGGAAACACCATCAGAGCACTCCTGACATATGGTTGTCAAGCCTCTGCTTAAAGACCTCCAAAGAAGGAGACTCCACCACACTCCTTGGCAGCAAATTCCACTGTCGAACAGCTCTTACTGTCAGGAAGTTCTTCCTAATGTTTAGGTGGAATCTTCTTTCTTGTAGTTTGGATCCATTGCTCCGTGTCCGCTTCTCTGGAGCAGCAGAAAACAACCTTTCTCCCTCCTCTATGTGACATCCTTTTATATATTTGAACATGGCTATCATATCACCCCTTAACCTCCTCTTCTCCAGGCTAAACATGCGCAGCTCCCTTAGCCGTTCCTCATAAGGCATCGTTTCCAGGCCTTTGACCATTTTGGTTGCCCACCTCTGGACACGTTCCAGTTTGTCAGTGTCCTTCTTGAACTGTGGTGCCCAGAACTGGACACAGTACTCCAGGTGAGGTCTGACCAGAGCAGAATACAGTGGCACTATTACTTCCCTTGATCTAGATGCTATACTCCTATTGATGCAGCCCAGAATTGCATTGGTTTTTTTAGCTGCTGCGTCACACTGTTGGCTCATGTCAAGTTTGTGGTCAACCAAGACTCCTAGATCCTTTTCACATGTACTGCTCTCAAGCCAGGTGTCCCCCATCTTGTATTTGTGCCTCTCATTTTTTTGCCCAAGTGCAATACTTTACATTTCTCCCTGTTAAAATTCATCTTGTTTGTTTTTGCCCAGTTCTCTAATCTGTCAAGGTCGTTTTGAAGTGTGATCCTGTCCTCTGGGGTGTTAGCCACCCCTCCCAGTTTGGTGTCATCTGCAAATTTGATCAGGATGCCCTTGAGTCCATCATCCAAGTCGTTGATAAAGATGTTGAATAAGACCGGGCCCAAGACAGAACCCTGTGGCACCCCACTAGTCACTCTTCTCCAGGATGAAGAGGAACCATTGATGAGCACCCTTTGGGTTCGGTCAGTCAGCCAGTTACAAATCCACTGAGTGGTAGCATAGTCAAGACCACATTTTACCAGCTTCTTTACAAGAATATCATGGGGCACCTTGTCAAATGCCTTGCTGAAATCAAGGTAGGCTACATCCACTGCGTTCCCTTCATCTACCAGGCTTGTAATTCTGTCAAAAAACGAGATCAGGCTAGTCTGACATGACTTATTTTTCAGAAATCCATGCTGACTATTGGTGATCACAGCATTCCTTTCTAGGTGCTCACAGACTGTTTGCTTAATGATCTGCTCCAGAATCTTCCCTGGTATTGATGTCAGACTGACTGGGCGGTAATTATTTGGGTCCTCTCTTTTCCCCTTTTTGAAAATAGGGACAACATTTGCCCTCCTCCAGTCTGCCGGGACTTCGCCTGTTCTCCAGGAATTCTCAAAGATGACTGCCAGTGGTTCTGAGATCACTAAATTGGAACAAACAGCAATCGGTGGAAAACCTGATTACTGTTTGTTCAGCACCAAAGCATGGGGTTTCCTGGGCGAGGCAAACAGAGGTCTGAGTAAATGCTTTGTCTCCAAGATAACCCAAAGCTATTGCTTAGGTGCCTCCGCTCTTGAAATCTGATGGGGTCTGATGGAATATTAGTGCTGTGACCTTTCGTATCCTGCTCTTGTCTGTATACATGCGTAAATAAACCTGATATCACAGAAATCGACAACAGGGCGGTGGGGTGTTAAGAATTAAAATTAAGATTTGTACTGTTGGGAACAATATACTGTGATTTGCCCAGCAGGTGGCATATGAAACCTACATACTGAGGGGAAAAAACTTAGCAAACAGCAACTCTACACAACTTTTCTCGCCTGCTCATTGCTGGTGTGATTATTAATTAACACATCCCACTTACGTTTTCATTGGGCGGTGGCAAAATTAGGTCATTGTGACCTTGATGAATTAAAAACGTGTAGAAGCATTAAGGAAATGCCAGAAGCCACAACGTTGCCTTAGAGCCGTCACTCCTTTCACACCTTTCTGCTCCTGGGGATTGCTATGATCAATAAGATTTATTTTTCAAGAAGTAACTTGCAAATTGCATAGGTTGCGATGCAACTTATACCTCTTCTCTGGTAGCAGCTTGGTGAGTGGGAGATAATTTATGCTTTACAGGTGTCAGGGTTAGAGAGAGAGAGAGTGCGTACACCACATGGCAAACGGATGGTTTTGTGGTACTTTTCCAAATAGGTTATAACCCGTGTGCATTTTTCAAAGGCGATGGCTGGTGGCAAAATGATGCATCTATCAAACAGATGACAGGAGCAATCCTGGTCCCTTAGAAGTGGCCTAAGTGCATGGTGATCTGTTGGACCTCCTGATCGTTCTCTCAAATCTATCAGAAAAAAAATAAAAACAAAGTGGGGCCCAGATAACAAAAGTATAATGGCTTGCACTGGCTTTCCGAAGACATTGTTTTCCATAATCAGCTTGTGACCTGACCTTGTGATGTGTGCATATTTATTCTAAAGTAAGCCTCAGAGAACTGAATGCAACGTCCCTCCCTCCCACCGCAATATGTATGCACAGGGCTGTGGTTTCGGCCTCTGCTAATACTATGGAACAGGTGCA